ACTCCATAACGCCACATGCATCTTTCTATTATAAACCACACACAGCGTCACATCATGCGACAGAGCCAAGTGGATACAACCATCTGCTCGAGTGAACCATAAATGTCAATAAACACATTCACTTCCTTTGAACACGCTTACACTAACGTTGTTCCATTTACATGAGAAACCAATAACTAGGTTTGTATTTTTAGTGTTTTCTGTGAATTGTAGCTATGTAGTAAAAAGGAAGGCAGTATTCATTACATTTTCTTTGATGAACTGAAGGAAAAACTGTAGGGTAAATTTTCTTTCTCTCTGTCTTATCTTTTTTTCTTCGCGAAAGTTTCCTAAATATTTTGAATGTTGTCAGTTTTGTATTATTCAAATCAAGGAATACTTACATATTCTTTGTCTTTCACCAATAAAGCCATAAATATTTCATCATACAGCATGCAGCTTTTAAGCAGTGCACAAGCACCACAACATGTAAGGGTAGAGCTATACTATTGACTTGATTAGCAAAATACAACCCCTTTTGTGTAGTGAAATCAGTACTTCGGCTATTGTCATTGTCTGTACAAAATGTTAGGCTTTAGAAGGGAACTAAGGAGCCATGTACGGGTCACGGTCAAAATAAAATTTTTTTCCCCCTCTCTCTCTAACTGATTAAAAAATTGATTTGCAAAGAAGAGAAACGCAGAAATCATTTTAAAAAGTATACATTTTTTTGTAGGGAAAAAACAAATAGAGGAGGTAGAGTCAATCAAGAAAAACTCAGGGATAAAAGAAGAAAATTTGGGCTCAATCCAGTCAACCACATCAACGTGGGAAGTAATACGGTATATAGATTAGAGTCAGCTAATCAAGACATTAATATGTCCAGTTTCTAGCTGAAAGTACGCAACATAAAAAAAAATGAAATGTTTGTAAAAAATAAATCAGGTCACAGACGAAGCTTTACAAACGAAAAAAAGTCTAAGAGGCACGCAGAGCAGTATGGGCCAAAGAATCTATAGTAAAACTGCAGCCAGGCAAGTGATTCAAGGGCAACTAACGGTAGCATAAAAGAAAAACATACAAGATTTAATAGTTTTAAAGCCAACTCATACAATCAACACAAACAAATATCTAATGAAACATGTAACAGTCATAACGCTTGAAAATCATAAAAAAGAAATATAGAATATGAAAAATTTTGAAGAAAAAGTAAGGAAAATACCGGAAAAATAGTTGAAAATATTTGCAGACTTGATAACGAGAAATGACAAGGTATCAAACATGATAGAATAGTTTGAACAAATAGTCAAAGAACTTGCAACAAAATTAAGGAAAGCCACTGATACAAGATATTTAGCGAGTTGAGGCTTGACACAGCTACCAGAGAAAGCATTAAGAGCTGTGTCAGAAGCCAATATCTTAGGAGAACAACTAAGATTTGGTCTCAAATTCACAGAAGAGGATAATGCAGCAACAGAGAAGTCCATCAGGAAAATTTCAGAGACAACGACTGTAGCATTCAATGGTAATATTATATACCTATAGGAATATCCTTGGTAACAAAAGAGAATTTCGATACATTTAGAATATCACCATTACCGCTGGAAAAAGAAAGGCTGAACGCAACAGACATCGTGGCCTACTTACAACCAACATACAACTACGTGGCAGTCAGTACTGGTGCGAAGAATTTTGCAACAATATCGCAGGAAACAGTTAAGAAATGCAAAAAAATGGGACAAAAGCGTATTTACACACTAATTAAACTGGCACATGAAATAGAGAAAGACTATCCTTGTAAAATAAAATCAATCCTGGGTTATTTAATTACAAATGCAGAGGAATAGCCAATACTATAAGCCAAAATAAAAACCACTAACTGGACGCACCTACATGTGACGAACCAGCATGCTTTCAGCAATACGAGGGAGAAAAAAATACATGTACAATGTTAGCATATAGAGCATAAAACATTCAAAGTTGTAGACACAGGAGTAATAAATTTATCAGAAGATTGCACGGCTCAAGCAGAAAAAACAAGATTGAGTCCAGGATTAGAAGAGGACAAGAGCCAAAAATTTAAATTTAAAAATTCAAACTTGCACGTCAGGAAAATAATACAGAGTATAAAAGGAATAAAAGGGGACAAGTTACGGGAGCACACGAGTTCAATAATAAAAAGGAGTGGATTACAGGAACTTGGGAATGAAGAGCACGGGACTAAAGAAAACTTAACAACAGGCAGGAGGCTAATGGATATAGTCCAACGTGTGCGCGAACTCTTCCAAACACAGGGAGAATTATCTGATTGAAAAGAATATGTGTGGGTGGTGGCAAATATAGCGCTGGGCATGGTGGTAGGGTTATTTGGATTCTTAAAATGGGAGGTCCCTTAATATTAAATTTAGCTAAAATGTTTACAGGTAGAAAATGCAGAAGCGATACAGAAAGAGACGGGACTACGGCAACGAATCCATCAGCGCCTCACCCAACATCCACCAAAATGCAGGGGAGGACTCCAAGACATCTCATTGACATCCCAGTTATCATAGCGGAAACATTCTCCAAGGGTTATGAGTCAACTTAAAACACACGACATAACAAAGTGACTCTTCTTGCCAAAAAAATAGTAAATAAAACTAAGAAATAGGAAATAATAAGTTAAATATAAGTGAAATGACAATAACACTATTATTACAGTCATAATAATAATAATAATGATAATAATAGCAATATTAGCTTAGTAACAATAGTACTGTATTAATAATATAAATAATATGCTAGTAGTAATATTGCAAGAATGATAAAAACAACAATAATAATAATGAGGAAATAAGAATGAGCACCGGGAAATGCTTGACTATATCGGGGGGCACTGTCCGTAGGACGAGACTCAGGATTCATTTTTTTTCTGAAAAAATGTAATATCGAGAAAGATACATTATGGCTTATTGAAAAAAATAAAACTGTTGTTGATTACAATACATGGTAATGGTAGCTAAAATAATAATTATAAAAATGATGATTTTTAAACAATATCACAATTATGAGCAGACGAGAGTAAGCACCAGGAGTCGCTCGACTGTATCGGGGGGGGGGGGGGTGCAGTCCGTAAGACTAAAACAGAAAAGATCTTTCTTTTCTCTTTAATAATAAAGGTAAGAAATTTGTACGAAAATTTTTTTTTTCTCTAATAAATAAACAAATGATAAATAGGTGTACGTGAAATTATAAAAAAAAGCTCCATGTAAGATAACGTTATGCACGGTTCCAAATTTATTGTTTGGTATGTGAAACAACACTTAATGTAAAATAGTCTTAAGCAGATACCCAATTTAGGGCAATTTCATACATAATTGTAATATAAGGTAAAGCGCATACACAATCAATATTATTGTACACTGAACACCCATTGAGAGGAGACTAAATAATTGGAAAAGCAAAAATATTAATGTAAAGAGACTAGATATTGTCTACCATTGAAAAGAAGAATTAGTGTAGAATACTAAACTACAGAAACAACACGGACAACAGAATGCAACACTGCACACACATGAGCACTCACAAACAAATCCACAGGGTCCACCCAGCGAGTCTCAAATTGGGACACTCAGAAGTCAGCAGTCGAGCGTTTCAAACTAATAGACCAGGCGATAATTACGACACCCGTGACGAGCCTTGAATGTAAATACATGTGCAACTTTGCCTTATAAATGTGGTATTAAGAATAAAGGTCTTTAAGGAAGTAAATGATAAACATTCTCACGACGCACCTCCTTACTAATCTTTTTCCTCGTAACAATAGGCATAAGTTCGCAGCAGTTGTAATTAGTTAAAGTAAAAATTATTTATAAGGTAGTAAGAGCAGTACAGAAAGCCGAAAAATACAGTTTTGATTTAGTAGTTGTTTAAAATATTATTATTTTTAATACATTATGAAGAAAAACTAATGTATTTTAAACGGACATAAGTACAGAAAAAATAAAAAATCTTCAGCTTGTTAAATTGTTAGTTATTTTTAGAACCATATTACTGTTCTAAATAGTGGTACGAAAGAATTATATTCAGCTAGTCACTTTCAAATTTCTACGTATTATAGGTAGTATTAAAAGTAAAAAATAGAATCTTTTTGTATAAACATCTGCCTTACCTTTTTCCCTGCAAGTAACTCTTTCAATCTTGAAATAGTATTGAATCTTATGAGACTGAAGCAAATTAGTGTAATTGCATATTATGTGTATAATAAGTTTAATTATAGCAAGACGTCAAAAAAGGCTATCATAGGAGACATCCACTTGTCACTTGTTCTTTTTTTACTATGTAAGCTTAACTATACCATAAACCATACCACGATGAGGCCTTAAAAACAGTAGAAAAAAGTGGATTTACCTAACAGTATCCGAGATAGCAATCTCCTTTTTTATCTCTGATAGTTGATAGATGATAAAAATGTCTTTGATAATGCATATGCGATAAATACTTATTATTGCGTTAAAAATAACGTGTAAGGTGTTGATAGTTTATCACCTACATTTGAGAGCTTAAATATTACTTGAATTTTTATTTTTAATTTTCATTAAATTTTAATGACATAAATTATTTTTCAAATTTCTGACGAATCTTTTTATCTATAGATTTAAAATTCATTACAAAGGAGTAGTACACGAAAAAAAAAAAAAAAAAAGATATGCAATCATATCGTTTGATGTTTGGATTCCACCTAACATTTGATGAGCTTAGACGAATGTATTTGTTATTTATTTAAATTTGTTATTTACTTCCTTTAAGTGCGGATGTATATGATTGAAAAGCAATTATCGCTGGCATAGCATTAGGTTCTCCTAATAGTTTTACAAGTGTATTTATAAATGAAAGTAGCATAAAATGTAAGTTCAATTTTTTATGAAATAAGAAAATGAATATGCCTACTAGTTAACTAACTTATTTAATGTGTATGTGTGTGTGTGTGTGTAACTAATTTTTCCATTTATTTGAAACTAATCCAATCAATTTTATTTCACTATACTGACAGAAATTAAACGGAAAAAAAAGTTTAATAATACATTAAATAATAAGTATTATACAGTTAGATATCCAAAATATAAACTGAGTGTATTTATGTATCTTTTTCTATAAATATTAATATAAAAATAAAGACAATGAAGGAAGAAATTATCGCTGGATAGTTTGCGTTTTCTCTTCTGGTGGAGGCACTTCAAACTTAGTGCTATTACTTCTTCTTGCAACGATGGACTTGAGGAGATCAGGTGAAGTCTGCTTGAGATCGTAGGCCCAACCAATTTTGGCAAAAGAATGGATGAAGTAAGTACTAAGATCAGTGAAATGACCGAGCTCTGCTGCTTTGTAATCCCATGGAAAAACATGATGGTAGTTATGCCAGCCCTCGCCACCAGTTGCCAACGAGATGAGCATGTTCTCCGTAGGTGCAATCATTCTGTTAATAAACAACATCGTTACATAGATAATTAGAAATTTGTTTTTGTGACGAACCCTATTACCCTGTAGAACTACTGGAAATTTTTTAATAATGTCGTACGTAGGTCAAAATACAAATAAAAAAAATTGTTGTTGAATTTGAAGATTTTTTGTGAGCTTAGAGACTAGAATCTATTTAATCAGATTCATTGTTTTATAAATATGTCTTAGTAAACAATAGTCTCAGGTCCTCCTTTTATTTATTAAACACTGTTTTTTCGTTTTTTTTTTTTAATATCAAGGCTCACCCATAAGAGTATAAAAATTTTCTATAAGCTTACTGTAAACGTTGATTAAAAATGTTATACTTACTAAGCTTTGTTTTACATAGTAATAAAAAGCCTACCAGGATTTTTTACGAACTTTTCACTAAATACGCACTCTTTGCATACAATGGCATCAGTATAATTCTACTACAGGCGTTACATTTATACTTAGCACTAATAAATAGTAGTAAAAAAAAAAAAAAAAAAACATATGAAAAAAGGAGTGGAAATCAATTCGTTTTATTTTTTATCACTAGCTGAGCTCTTCAGTGCGGCGTGCTTGTGATTTTAGCCGTAGACGAACACGACTGATACTTGCATTTATACGCAGATATAAATATTGTGCGATGACGAGATTGATACAGCGTATCAAAATACATAAGAGGTATTGAATAGAATGATACCAAAAAGCCTGTATTATCAAATTCAACAATGTTCGTTTCTGTTTCTTGATCATAATCCATTAAATGTAACGTAGGTGGAAAATGTAATACTTACTAAGCTTTATTTTACATGGTAATACAAAGTAAATAGAGTGATAATATTGTAAGGAATTTTAGTAGACTCCGTATGGTAATACAAAGTTAGTTTAATGATAATCTTGTTAGAAATCTTCGTAGGCTTTGTATTACAATGTTAAACAAAGCTTAGTTAGTATCACATTTTCTAGCGACGTTAAATTTAATGGTTTATCTTCAAGAAACAGACACCAAAACTATTAAGTTTGATAATAAAACCCTATGCAGGCTTTTCGATATCATCTTATTCTCCACCTCTCATATATTTCGACATGCTGTAACAATCTCGTCATCGCATAATACATATCTGCATATAAGTGGAAGTATGAGTCTTGTTTGTATACGGCTAAGATTACTAGCACGCCGTACTAAAGAGTTCAGCTAGTGGTCGAGAATGAAATGAGTTCGTGTTTACTTCTTTTTTCTTTTAATTTTCCTCCTTTCTTTACCTCTATTGATTAGCACCAAGTATTAATTTAACTCTTGTAGCAAAAATATATTTGTGCTGTAGTATGCACAGTGTGCGGATTTAGTAATAATCTCGTAAGAAGTCTTAGTAGGTTTTGTATTACCATGTAAGACAAAGCTTAGTAAGTATCTTATTTTCTACTAACGTTGAATTGAATAGATTATCATCAAGAAAAAGACACCAAAATAATAAGGTTTAAGGTTTGTGCAAACTTTCTGGCGAATGTTGTGATGTTTTGTTAATGCTTTTTCAAATATTTTTTAAAAGCATTTGGTTTAAACCAAATAATTAAATGAAGTATTGCATAGAAGCTGTATAAAACACGACATATTCATGAAAAAAGTACGCGTGTGAGATTCAACAGGGCTCTTACAAGATATTTAATGAGTCATTTTACACTGATAGAAAAATCGCTCTAAGAAATTTTTCAGGCTATTTATGTAAAACTCCAGACCAAGTATCTTTAAACGTTTTTTTAAACGTTGTAGAAATGTTTTTGAAAACTTTTTTCGTGAATATGTCGTATTTCACAAAGCTTTTATGCGATACTCCAGTGAGTTATTTGTTGTAGACCAAAAATGCTTTTCAAAAATGTTTGAAAAAGCTTTCAAAAATGATCACAATCTTCTCCAGAAAGTTTCCAGAAATCTGAAACCTCATAGTTTTGGTGTCTTTTTCTTGATGATATTCTATTAACTGCAACGTAAGTGGGAAATGAAATACTTACTAAGCTTTGTTATACATGGTAATACGCTAACTATTACATATATATATATATATATATATATATCGAAGTGTCCGTGGAAGACTATTAAAGCGTGACGTCATCCCATTCAAAATAACATGGAGTGACGTCACGCTGTGATAGTCTTCCACGCACACGTCAATACATATTTGTATATGTATACATATATTAAATATACATAATAGTTGGCATAGTTGACAATAAATTTTTTTACTATTTCTTTATGCAGTGATACTGTGCTTTATTTAAAATAAACTGAGAGAGTCCATAGCAACTTTTACAATCGTCTTCCAAAGGTACATAATTATATACCTGTGGAATATATATGCACTTGTGTATGTATATATACATATTAATTTTGTTTATGTAATACTTATTCCAAATAAAGTGTAAATTTAATCAAAGTTGTGACGTGATTTTTAGTAAATTTTTTAACCATTGATAAGTTTTGATTAATAGTGGTGTCTTATCCAAGTGTTTTACATAGTGCTTCAACGTATTTAGAATTTATCGAATACTTCAAGTGTCTCTAAAATAAAAAAACTAACCCATGTATTCTTTATTGTAATAAGGTTTATTGTAACTGTAATTGGTTTTGAAAGCTTAAATTCTTACTTTTAAGTCATCTGTTATTTTTGTAACTATACTGTGTCAATTTATGAGTTAAAATCCCTTAGACGTAAAATATTTATTTCTATATTAATGAGGTTAGAATTAAATAAATTTCTATTTATAATTATGTACGTATAAAATCTTCTTAACTGCTTATTTACTTAAGAAATTAAGTTAATGTAGACGGTAAAAAGTTTTACATGCATTAGAAACTTTTCTGATAAACATAAGCAAAGTGCCCTGAAAAGATGAAAATTTTATAACTAATGAAATGGAGGTCCTAAGTTAAATTTAAATTTTTTTATACAGGGAAGCTAATAACCAATAATTTTACACTTTTTTTACTCTAATGGCTTTTTTTATTATTATTATTATTATTATTATTGTTATTATTATACATAAGTAAACTGAGTATAAGTCGTTTTTAGTGTTAAGATTTCATAAGTCACTAACATAACTTTTACAGAAGTAATTTGAACTTTCACACAGTTTTTGACTACGTTTCACAATAGTAACGTCCAAAATTTTCTTCTTACACTGAAAAACAAAAGAACTTACAAGAAATAAACGAATTTAATTTCTTATGTTTTATTAGCTGTGCCATATAAAAAAAAAAATCCTTATTTTAGGGATTTTTGAAAAATTTTTGCAGATTTCTAATTGACTCTCTTAATTTTGAGGAAAAAAATTGTCCTCATATAATATAAAAAAAAATTTTAAGACACATGTCACACTTACAATAAAAATTGTTTAAACCTGTAAGAAAGGTCAAAACCCCTTTATACATAATGTACCTCAAAAAAGCGGTATTTTTGAAGTTTGATTTCTAACTTTTCTGATATTCTACAACTTTTTAGGCTTATGTAACTCTTAAACCTAAATACAGAATGAAGATATTCAATGATAATGAGAGTGAAGAATAAATATTTTTCAATACCCAAAGAACCTTAAAATACTCCTCGCTTTGTACAGCACCAAACGTTAAAGCCACCTTAATTATGTGATTTCGATATCATCAATGAAAATTTTTTTTTAACCATTTTTCAACATTTTTATTTATGATAAAACAATATTGCTTGTTCAAAGTTGGATACTTGTTATACAAAAATAATAAAATTGGAAAATTTACTTAAATGTTTTTTATTGGACACGTTATTCGTACATTTTTTTCATGCACGTTTGGACATTTTTTAGAGATTGTTTGCCAGTGCGTTTGTGTTTAAAAATCTACTGCACGTATGTACACATTTTCATAAGAAAAAAACAATATGTATAATGATCACAGAAGCAAAAATTCCTTTATAAAGTTTATAAGATTTTATGATCGAAAGCACTAATCTTCATTGCTATGCTTGTCAATTACTGGGTTAATTTTGACGAAATAAGAAAACATCTAATAATTTGGTTATTAGTTAAAAAGTTTTGAAATGCATCCAGCACGTAATTGAAAGTATATTATAGCAGTAACTTCAAGGTATCAGCTAACTGTCTGTTACCATTAGAACAGTTGTAACGTTAGCGTTGAATGTCTACTATAATGTGTAACAAGCAATTAATACCTGGAAACCGTTTACGCTCACCTAGACTGCACGAGGAAGAAAAGCCTCAGAGAAAGGGGTGTGTCATAATGTGTACGAGAGAGAGAGAGAGAAAGAAGATATAAGTGTCTTGCGATGCGTATTAGTGCAGGACGCTGTGGACCATTAGACCAGAAGAGATTAGGTATAGGTAGGGCACACACGTGCGTCTCTTGCCCGCAAAGTACACCAAGCCTCCAAGAGACAGCCTAGCCATTGCCTTTTTAGCACCTGCCACCTTACGCCTGCGAACCAGCGACTTGCCAGCAAGATACCAGGCCAACAATTCCTGTTGAAAGATAATCTGCTCGGCCAATAAGCGTAAACACAAGGCTACGAAGAGCCATGTAAGCGCAGTGCGTGCGTAAAAATCGTGATAGCCACATAATTTTTCTTTTTGCCCGGTCAAAGTATTGCGTGCCACAATACTAAAAGTAATGCTCAAGCGACCAGCAGCTTCAACATTAAAGAGCAAATTCATCATTTGGGCCAAGTAGTGTAAAAGTGGGACTTCAAATTTACAGGGGTACAAAAAGAGAGCTTTAACGGCTTTTATAAAAAAGTACAGAAATGCTGAGAGTTCATCAATCATTTGAATGATGAGATGTTTCGAGTGGTGCCAGCGCTTCTAAGCAAGAATGCGCTTCTCTGGTATCGCAACGAGAAATAGAGATCAAAAACCTAAGCAGAGTTCGTGACCACAGCAAGAAAGTGGTTTGACGTTGGCAAGGGCCTGCAGCACAAGCTGAAATAAGACACGCTCATGCGCAGA